CTTTTTTGCCATGTAATATACCTAGTTTGGTTTGGCAAATGACAGAGAGAAATTTCCTTAAGATTAAAAATTACCTAAGCACCACTCATGTTCATCTGCATTATCTCACAAATTCTTGTAGGCTATGGGACTATTTAAAGGAGATATTTGAGAGAATTGAAAGAGGTAGAATGACTGTTTTAAGCTGCCATTCATTCCTAAACAGTGATTTGGAATTTTAGATTAAGATCAATACTTGGAGGTACATGCAGGGGTGACAAGGTAGAATCTAAGAATTGTCCTGCAGTCTAAACCGGGTGAGTGTTTTTAAGAAAAATTGAAGGAACAGCAAGAGTTTTTGGTTTTTTTTTTTTTTTTTTTTTTTTACTTCTCGGTTGTCATTTTATCTCTAAAGGATTGAGGAACTTTTCTTGAGGTAGAGTGGGAGCACGAGGAAAATTATAGGTTAGGAGATAAAAAGCCTTTTGGGCAGAGGAAAGACTGTGGTAATGGAGCCAACAGATCTCAAGGTGGGAAGGATACATTTATACAGAAGGAAAAACTCAGCTCTAACAAAGAATTCCTTGGGGCAGGTAAGACAGAAGAATAAATTAGGTACAAAGCACAAGAATCCCTGAAAAACTGTAATGTGAATGTAACCAGCTGTTTTCTCTGAGCTAGACATTCCATATCCACTTAGCTCATGGTCACCTATAATCAACATGACATTGGCCAAGCTTACAGTAGTCAGTCAACACTGTGTTTTCTATCTCTGCTACCGATACTTAAAAAAAGATAATAAAGTCTTCTTGTTTATGCTTCTGTTTACCCTACTGTCTGTACTTCTTTTCTCTGGTTTACTTCTTATCCAAAAAAACCCAAAACAAAACAAAACAAAACTGGTCTGTAGTAAAATTTATCTGAGTCAGTTTCAACCCAGTGTTTCAAATACCACACATCCATACCACCAAAGCATTCCTTATTTCTTGATGTAATTAATATATCTTTATGCCAAGTTAATTTGAAATCTTGCTTCAATTTTCCCTTCATGTGATTAGGCACTTAAGAATTAGGTCTCACACGCCGATTTACATAAGTAATGAAGAACTTGATTTACCCTATCCATGTTGACTTTTTCCTCTATTGTGTAAATAAATGTTGTAATATACATGCAAGCCTTTTACCTTTTCTAGCACTTACAAATATTAATACTGAAATACCAAAGAGTTCTGGCTTTCATGGGTACATTGCTGCCACATCTTATCAGTTCACAAAGGAAGAAATATGAATTTCATGTGAAAAGGCAGGGTTTGGGAGGATGCTATTTATAAATGACAATGGCTGAAAAGCTAATGTGTTGATCAGACTTCTACAGCTTTGAAAAGTAATGGAGGCACTCTCTCTCTGCATGGTTGTCACTGTATAGTCCAGGACATAAATCCATAGCATTTAAGATGACAAGACCTTGTATTTACATAGAGACTTTCTCCAAGGAATTCACATCACTCCTTAGGAATGGCTCCATTAATTCTTATAGCTTAGGGAACTAGAGTGGGAAGATATATTTTTACGGCCAGTTGTCATAAATGAAGAAACCATGCCTGAGGTAGATTTGTAACTTTCTCAAGGTCACTCTAGCCAAACTGAATTACCAGAAGCGTGGAAATCCAGAGTAGTATCAATTTCCCATGTTGGGGGAGGAATGTATGTGTCACATGGGGTTGGCGAGGAACATGGCTTTTCAGAAACTGTCTTTTATCATTTTTACTCCCCTGTGTCATCTATGACTAAGAGACGTTATCTTTGGTTAGCTTTTCCCAAATCACGATCCTCTGAACACGGGGCTATGCAAGACACCAGTAGACCTTCAAAAAGAAAAAAGGCTCCCATGGCCAAATAAGTGTGAGAACTGCTTCATGCTATAACCACTCCTTGGTGATTCATAATTCCTATTAGTGCACTAAAAGCTCTGAGAAGCCCTGTAGTGAAGGTTACCTAAGTTTGCTTAGTACACAGTCCCCCAGACTTATTTGACCGTGGAAGTAAAGCTTTTTTTATACAGCACCTTTTAATGATTTATAGAACTGCTTTTCAATGGATCACATTCTGGGGAAATATATTTCTTCTATAAAAGCTCTGGGGAGGAAATGCTGCTCTAAATTCCTTTTTGTTCTTTGATATTGCCGGGCCCACCCTCTGTATTGAGGCCTCATTCACAGATGACTTGGGCAGTGTTTGAACCTTTGAGATGCAGCAGATACTCTCAGTGTTGAAAGTTAAGGCTCTATGAGAGGAATGAAATGGTGTTAAAAATGACCAGGAGCAATGTCATAGCCTTGTGCTCCAATCTCCTTCCCATACCTGCCTAGTTCTAGTTTATTATACACTCTGATGTGGGGACATTTGTTTGGAATGATGGCACAGTGTGCTGTGTGCTGGGCACTGAGGGAATGAACAATCACAGATCAAGTAGCGAATCTGGTACAGACCAAGCACCAAGAAGGAGTCAAGAACCAATGGGACAAGAACTAACAGGAGTTTAGCACTGTGGTACAGAATAGAGTATGGCTCTGGAAATTCAGGAGACTACAGAAAATGGGGAGACAAGAAATATGTCGTTCAGACAGAGCAGTAAGAATTTTATGTAGACCAAACCTTAATAGACCGTCATGGGGCATCCCAGGTAAGGTTTCAGGGCAAGGGCAGGGTTCAAGATGAAATCCCACCAAGAGATTTCATTCAGGTTGCTCTTGTACATTGGTTAGGCAAGTCAGCAATAGCATGTTTTAGTCATTGTCCTACAGGCTGTGTTAAAAATGTTGCTTTGAAAGTTGCTAACTGAAAACTATTTGGAAAATAGGTGTCTGAGATAGACCAATAGCCAGCAGAAACTTATTTTTATAGGAAAAAAACACTATGTTGAAATGATCAGCTGTCTTAATAAAAAAGATAGAGTGAGAATACATAGATGTTGGGTCATGTTCAGATGCTAATTCTCCTTCCCTCCTTCCTCCTAGCCAATCAATGATGTTCTCTCTCTCCGAACATATAGATCTTATCTCTACCTTGCTCGAGCGAGGCAGGAGCTCTTATTCTCCAAATGCTATTTTAATTCTTTTGGAATTAGATAAGAAGGGAGGCACCTGAAGGATATTATTGGAAAGTGACAGGAGGCCAAGTGGGGGAGACTAAGAGGGTAAATTGGGGCCAGCTATGAGGTAGGTGTGTAACTTTCTCAAGGTCTCTGTGGCCAAACTGAATTACCAGAAGTGTGGAAACCTAGAGTAATATCAATTTCCTATGTGGGGAAAAACTAGGAGGAGGACTTTGGCTCATTAGAGAGTTATATATCATGTTATGAGTTTTTGTTGTCTGGAATTTTGTTTGGATGTTGTCTGTGGGGTTTCTGTTTGTTTGTTTGGATTTCGTTGTCTGGAAATGAGGGGCCAGCAAAGTTTTGAAGTTGGGTTGTGGCATTATTGAATGTTACCAACCTGCTCAGCTATTTAACCACTCTTGCATTGCCCTCACCCTATCGTTCCTACCAAATGAAGGACCCTCTTCTCTGGGAAATATCCTGAACCATACAGAGAATGAAGTAAATAAGATAGGTAACCATATTTAGTGAGTCTTAGGTCATGTTTAAACATGGTAAGTAAATGGGATTACTGTATGTATTTTCTTTGATTATAGTAATAACCAAGAGGTAGGTTATTATTGTTATAATCAATTATGATGCACACTAAGCAAATGCAGAAAAGTTAATATTAGGCCAGCCAGAACATTTGTTGGGTTTACTTAAGAGTAGGTTTTCTTAAGAGCAGAGCGACCATTCTCTTCTGGGCTGGTGACCCTAAAGATAAATTGGGCTGTCTGATGGCCTTTCATTCCACACATATACTATGCATGGGTGTGTAAGTCCAATCCTCTAAGAAGCAGATGTCAAGACAGGATTAAATGTACATGGCTTTTGGAGCTGAGAAAGGCTGAGACAGCCATTAGGCCACAATCCAAGTGTGACCTGAGTGAATGGGGAGGACAAGAGATTTGGTGAAAAAATTTTAGACTCGTGTGCAGTCAAAAAAAAAAAAAAAAAAAAAAAGGTTTGACAAGGTTGTCAAGATGTCCCCCAACCAACCTTGGCCATCAGAGGTATTCCACGTCTCTTAGGAATGGGACCACATTACTTAGTACCCATACTGGGGTCAGTCATTGGTGAGAAGCAGCCAGTGGGAGGTGTGCCCTGCACAAATGCAGTAATGAATTTCAAAGTCCAGCAGCTAGGGCCCAGGTCCCCGGTAGCTGGAAGTCTGAAAGGTGCATTCTATTGGCTGCAACAATGTATATGATTCAAGCTTCCCCTGAGACTGGAGACTGTACTTCTACTTATTGCATTCAGAGGGAGAGTTTCACAAAGAAGGAGAGACTTGCATTTAGAAATGGGAGGATGAGGGCAATTCAGAGACGGTCATGTCGGTAACATATGAACATGCCACTTGACTGCTTAAGTAGACTAGGCTGATTTGCAGCTCATTTTAATACATTCAGAAAACTCCATGGCATCTAATGTCTTCCTGCTTAAAAAGAAAAGTGATTTTACAGAGAGGGAAAAGGTAAAATGTTATTTTCAATTTCTAGGAAAAACTGTCAGATTCAGGAAGTTTTTGACACTTCATTATAGGTAGAAGCACTTTGTGTAGTCTCTTTACATTTTATACTCAAGATATTTTTTGGACTGATACAATTGTTCTAAAATAATGCTGTCCTCAAATGAGAGGCAAAACCAATTAGAAGACACTTTTGTTTGAAATCAGTATGACTGCATAAAATGTATTAATAAAACACAGTGAATAATCTTGATCTCTTGATAAATTGCCCGCTCTGGAGAGCATGGGCAGCTCTTGTAGCATCTATTGAGAAAACAAAGAAATCCTGTCAAGATGACATCTGCTTCTTCTGTGGAACATGTTAGGAGTCATGAGGTTTTGAATATGATGCAGTTAGCAGCATCGTGTACTTACTTAATCAGCAGGCAAGGATGAAAGCTTGTCTTCCTTTGGGGGCCTCCATGGATTCTAGAATGCCGCTCACATTTGGATTTACCTGAAAATCAGTATGGCATTTAGCTCAAAGAAGCTAATTGAAAGTGCTATTCCCAACCTGGCATGTCTAAGGGCATTACTGGCTGTGTGCCAATTAACTGTGGTAAGATGGGGCTGGGGTGGTTTATCACTTAACTATGGCCACAATAATGTGTATACCAACCAACCACAGCATCAAACAACAAAACGGCAAATAACATTATCAGCAAACAACAAAAAGTGAGTATTTGGCTCACAAATCTGGGGGTTGCTTGGAGTCAGCTGATCTGGGCTGGGTTCAGCTGGGGGCAATTTGGCTTTGTTCTATGTGTTTTTCATCTTCCTCCTGGGATCAGTGGGATAGTCTAGGTATGTTCCTCTCATTTGCCATCTTGTGATGGCAAGGACACGAGAGAAAGCAGAAACACAAGTTCTTTTAAGGCCGAGGCTTGGAACTGACATACTGTCACTTCTACCTCATTTTATTGGCCAAAGCAAGTCACATGGCGAAAATGACAGTCAAGAGGCAGAGAAGTATATTCTGCCCATAAAGAGGCCATGGCAAGGGTGTGGATGCAGATCGTTGTGATGAATTGAAGCGAAATAGGGAGTCTACCAGAGGGACAAATTAGACCTGTCCACTTTGATCTTTTGTTTAATCCAAGTTACCTAGGAAAACTCTGGGTGACTCAGTCCCAAGCAGGGTACAGGTTCTTGACTCTCCTTCTGTGGTAGAAGCTGTTAGCCATTCACTAAAATCCATAGCCACTTCTTGGGAACGCAGCTTTCCTGCCTTTCATGTGAGGTCATGTGACTGAGTTATAGTCAATTAAATTTCAGTGAAAACTTCATGTCTGGCCCAATAAACTTTCCTGTTCATGTGTCTCTATGAGCTTTTTCTCTTCCAGCTGACAAAGATGATGATACCTCAGGTTATCTTGGAGCCATATGTTGAAGGTGGTACAGATGTTGTCAACCTACTTTCCCAAATGATTGTCTGGAAATAGAGCAACTCCACCTCATTCTGCCCTAAGCCTGTACTTACTTTGGACTGTTATATGGTGAGAGAAATGAAGTTTCATTGTGTTGAACCATTATAGTTTTGGATCATTTAACAGCTTGCTTAGATTGACCTAACTAATATATCTGTCATATCTCCATCTTGCTCCTTACCTCCTGTACCTGTTTACTCCTGACCTCTGGCTCACCTATTCTCAGCTTTAGATTTGACTTTTCAACATGATAATAAAATAATGTCTTCCTTTCAGACTCTTACTGCCTCTTCCTGGACATTTTTTTTTTTTTTTTTTATTTAGAGCGTGTGGCTCTAGTTGCTCTGGGATGCTCTTAAAAACTACCATTCCATCCAGAAACATGCCAGCTCTCATAATTCTATCTCTGAATTATCTAGTATAGTTTATCCCTGCTGCTTGTCCTTCACAACAGGGGATCAGACATTTTGTCCCCAAACTAAACATCTGTCATCAGGACCACACTGGTGTGGAAAGAACATATAGGATTTAATATATAACATGCCTGGGTTTGAACCATAGCCCTGGTACTTAACAGTGGTGTGATTTTGAGCTCAATGTTTAGCTTCTCTGGGCCTCCATATCTTCTTTTGGAAATGGAGGTAATAATATCTACCTTATAAACTTGGTCTTAAGGATCAAATGAGATAATGAATTTATTATTTTTAGCACATTGTACCCAATAAATAACATTAATTTCAGTACCATCTTTATAATTATTTATTACTATATGTGATAGATTGATTGCCCTGAATTTTCAATCTTTTTTTTTTTTTTTTTTTTTTTTGAGACGGTGTCTTATTCTGTCACCCAGGCTGGAGTATAGTAGCATGAGCTCAGCTTACTCCAGTCTCTGCCTCCCGGGTTCAAGCAATTCTCCAGCCTCAGCCTCCTGAGTAGCTGGGATAGTAGGTGTGCGCCACCATGCCTGGCTAATTTTTGTATTTTTAGTAGAGATGGGATTTTGCCATGTTGCCCAGGCTAGTCTCGAACTCCTGACCTCAAGTGATCCGCCTGCCTCAGCCTCCCAAAGTGCTGGGATTACAGGTGTGAGCCACTGCATCTGGCCAATTCTTTTTGTAACCATGCTCTTTGCCATGTAACTTTAAGGTCCTTCTCTGATTACCTCATTTTGAGTGGAGTATTTTCCCTCGGCCTTGACTTGGGCTTGGCCATGTAACTTCCTTTGGCCAAGCTGTGATGCATGTAGGGATTTTTAATCATTTCACGTATATTAAAAATTATAACACCACTTTGCACCCCATAAATAAATACAACTATAATTCGTCAATAATAAATAAATAAATACAATGTGCTAAGTAGGGTCTATTCTTTTAAACCCCTGCTATTTCCATTAGAAACACAGATTATGGCTAGCCTTCCAATCCCATGAGGAGGATGAGAGACATGTGGAGCGGAGCAGCTTCAGCCAATGCAGGCTGAAGCAGAGCCATCTTATAGCTCATAGATCTGTGAAATTTTTTGGGGAAGCTCCTAAGGCTTGGAGTGATTTGTTATATAGTGTTATTGTGATCCTATCTAACTGTTACATTTGGAATAGTTAGAAGCCCATGTTAGAAATTTTGATAACCCTGAAAGAACCCAAGGTAACCTCATTTGTCTTGGGCCTCCAGAGATACCTGGGGTCATGTCTGAGCTCTGTGGCACAACTCCACAAGCAGAGTGCGTATGTAGAAGATGGGTAATTGTGAAAACTGGAAATCATCCTTACATCCTCCCACTGTGCTAAGCAAACCATTGCAGTGTTTTGTAGGTACTTGATAAATGACGAGTTGCTTTAAGTTGGTTATGTTTCAACCATTCTTTTTTATGTATGCCAGAAATTCTCAAACATTATTACTAATTAAAATTACCACAAGAGTTTCTAAAAAAATATTGCTGCCTGGGTTCCACTCCTGACCTACTGAATTTTAGGGGGTAGGTAGCACATTGATGTGTTTAAAAAATTCTCCACGTAAAAGTAATGTACAGACAAGGTTGAGAAAAACTGACTTTTTTTCAGAGCACAAATTTCTTTTTCAATTTAGGTGAAATTCATATAATTAACCATGTTTAAAGTACACAATTAAGTGGTAGTTAGTAGATTCATAATGTGCGATTATCACCTTTATTGAGTCCCCAAACATTTTCACCATCCCCAAAGGAGACCCTGTATCCAGTAAGCAGCCATCCTCCAATTCTTCGTATCCCCCTGTACCTGTTTACTCCTGACCTCTGGCTCACCTGTTCTCAGGTTTAGATTTGACTTTTCAATGTGATAATAAAGTAGTGTCTTCCTTTTGGACTCTTACTGCTTTTTCCTGAACAATTTTTATTCAGAGCCTGTGGCTCTAGTTGCTCTGGGATGCTCTTACAAACCACCATTCCACCCAGAAGGATACCAGCCACCAAGATTCTATCTCTGAATTATCTAGTATGGGTTACCCCTGGGAACCATTAATTTGATTTCTGTCTATGGATTAGCCTATTCTGGATATTTCATGTAAGTGGAATAATACAAAGTGTGAACTTTTGTGCCTGGCTTCTCTCATTAAGCATAATGTTTTCCACCTTCATCTACATTGTAGCATGGGTCAATGCTTCATTTCTTTTTATGGTTGAATAATATTCCATTTTATGGATATACAACATTTTGCTTATCCATTCATTCAATGATGGACATAGGTTGTTTCTACCTTTTGGCTAGATGCTATGAATATTTATGTATAAGTACTTCTTTGAACACCTGTTTTCAATTCTTTTGGGTATGTTCCTAGGGGTGGAATTGCTGGGTCATATAATTCTATGTTAAATTTTTTGAGGAATCCTCAAACTATTTTTCATAGCAGATATACCATTTTACATTTTCACTAGCAAAGTATAAGGGTTCTGATTTCTCCACATCCTGGCCAACACTTGTTTCTTTAAAAAAATTATTATAGCCATATCATAATTGTGAGAGTTTTAAAAAAATACTCTGGATACTAAACCCTTATAAATTTTTCCACCATTTTGTGGGTTGTTTTTTCACTTTCTTGATGGTATCCTTTGAGTCACAAAAGTTTTTTAATTTTGATGAGGTCAAATTTATCTATTTTTCATTGTTGTTGCTTGTGTTTTTGGTCATATCTAAGAATCCACTGTCAAATTCAAGGCCATGAATATTTACTCACATGTTTTCTTTTAAGAGTTTTTATAGTTTTAGGTTTTATATTTAAGTCTTTGATCCATTTTGAGTTGATTTTTGCAGATGGTATGAGATAAAGGTCCAACTTCATTCTTTTGCATATGGATATCCAGTTGGCCTAGCATCATTTGTTGAAGAGACTATTCTTTGAGAATCACTGATTTTGATAAGAAATTCTCACAGTTGTCACTCAGGGAGACTCGAGTGTAAGGCTTTGAGTGTAAGACTCTTTGTACTGAGTCCTTCATTGGAAGGAGGAGAGGTTCTGTTACAAAAAGAGAGAGCAAAAACAGGGACAAGTGGGGAGAATGGAAGTAAAATTGACACGGAAGTTGGCCTCTTGGAGAGATTATAGCAGTCTAGGAACATTGCCAAAGGAATGTGATCATTTCTAACTTCTAGATTTTTTGTTATCAATGAATTCATACGCATGTATAGATCCATTAGGAATCCAGATGGCTGTTGAAAACTTGGCAAACAGTTAGCTATTATCCAGTTAATTAGATAGCTACCATATGCAGCAGAATCATACTTATTTGGCTAAGGGTTTGAAAATAGGGATCAGACTTGGGGAAGAGGCCTACCCAGAGTGAGGCTGGGCAAGGCAAGGTATGGTAGATTGATGATTAAAATGGCTACACTTCTTCACCCCTTCATGTATATAGGCCTTTTGCAATGTGACTTCTGCAATGTGAACTCCTTCCATCAAGAGGTAAAGCTAATTTCTCATACTTTGAATCTGGGCTGACCTCATGATTCTCTTTGGCCAATAGAATGCAGCAGAAATGACTCTGTGCTATCTCC